TTGCGGAAATTCAAGCGGCCAGTGTAGACAGCTGGCAAGTTTCTCCGCAAAAGCAAGTCTCAATAAACCCTCCTGTTTGGTGCTGGCTGAGAGTCGCTCTGGGCTGGAGAACAGGGCTGCACTATTCCCTCTGGGAGTGAAGGCTCCAGGGGTACAGAGGGAGTGGACCCCCGAAGGGGCTCACGGCAGAGGCAGGCGGCTGAAGGCCCAGAGTGGCACCATCCCAGAGGTGGAGGGGCGGACCCCCCAGGTGAGAGTGGGCCCCCAAGAGAGAGGTGTTTTAGTTCAATTATTATTGTATTTTCACAAATTTGCCATTATATATATGCAAACATAAAGCCTTTGGCTATGTCTACACTGCCCGTTTTGCGCAACAAATATGCAAATGAGGCAAAGCATGGAATATCACCGTGCCTCATTTGCATAATTAAGGAGGCTCCTTTTTTTAGCAAAACCCCCCTCTTGCACAAGAGCCAGTCTTCCTGAGAAAAATGAGGAAGAACAGCTCTTGTGCAAGAGGGGAGTTTTGAGCAAAAAGGAGCTGTGTAGACAAAAGCCTCTTGCGCAAAAACAGAGCCTCATTAATTTTGCAAATGAGGCCTGGCAACATTCCATGCTTTGCCTCATTTGTATTTTTTTGCTCAAAATGGGGGCAGTGTAGGCCCAGCCTTCATGTTTATGTATTAGAATCCTAGAATCCTAGAACACTAGAAATGGAAGGGGTCTTGAGAGGTATCAGGTCCCATCCCCTGCCCTCACAGCAGGACCCAGCACCATCTAGACCATCCCTGATAGATGCTTATCGATGTGCAATGTCCTTTTTGTGACAATAATAAGCTTTATGGAGTGGGGCCTCTTGCACCTGCCATAGCTTTGGGACTGAGCTTGTCAAAACCCTGAGGTTCTGAGGAGCAGCCCAAAGGGGTTTCTCAAGATCAAAACAGGAAGAAGACCCGCGACCTAACCCCCACCCGTGATGGGGTGGAGAATGCTCTAATGAACAGGGGAGCAGCAGACATACAATCGCATGAGGTGTTGAGAACACACTCACACATCAGTCTCATACTGACCTGGGTGCAGAAGGGACAGGTGCTCCCAGGCCCAGCAATTCAAAAAGGCTGGGGGCTCCCAGCTGCCAACTTTGCTACTGTGGCAGCAGAATTGGATGGAGCCCTGAGCCCTTTAAATCAGTGCCAGATCACCAGGCCTCACGCTCAATTCCTACAGCAGATCTTTAAGGCGGATATAAAGCCAGCCTGGATCTTACAGTGGTCAGTGACCGAGATGCTGACCATTAATTGTCCTCCCACTTAAAACTTATTTCCAGTTTGAATGTTGTTGTTCCAATTCCCGTCTAACGCAGGGGTGGACTATTAAACAGTGGCCATTCACTGGAGTTAGCCTCTTGCAGGCCGCCACACTGACGTATGTATCTGAACCACCACAAGTACGGGGGCTCGCAGCTCCCATTGCCTGGGAATGATGAACTACAGCCAATGGGAGCTGTGATCCCCTGCACCTGCAGAGGAGCAGGTAAGTATGGTGGAGTGGGGCCAGCCAGAGGCTAACCCTGGAAGACCAGATGCAGCCCATGGGCTGATATTTGCCCACCTTTGCCCAATGGCTCGGATAGCATCTTGGAACATGGGAGACACAGGTTCCAATCCTTATATGGCCTGGTATGAGCTGGGAGCTGAACAGGTCCCAAACCATGTGTCCTAACCAGCAGGACCTGCAGTTGAATCTCTCCAGTCAGTTCCTTGTGGATCTGAGACACCTTCCTGTGACTGACACTTCACATCTTCTGACAGAAATGAGGAAAATCTAAAATGTGACCTTTGGTATAGGAGGTGATTGAGTATTTCTCCATGGAGCCTGTGGTATTGGTCCATTGGATCCATGAGCTACACTTGACCTCAGAGCTAATCTCTGTCATGTTATTGATCACTGCTGCACCCGGGGGGGGGAGGGTATGCCCCAAAAGTTTGTACAAAGGGGGCCATGTGAGGTGTCAAATGAAAGCTTGTGTTCTACTGATCCTATGTGTGCTACTCGTGTACTTGTATGATGTCTGTATGCGGAGTTATGAATATGGGCTCTGTGCTGATACCGTGACTGTTCTCTGTCTGAGACAAGGCAATGGGCCTGGACTGCCTGTCGCGAGGAAGGGATGTCCAGTGAACGACTAGGCTAACGAGCATGGCTCCAAGGACAATGGCTCCCAAGGGCTATGTCTAGCCTATATGGCTCCGTCGATGGAGCCATGTAAAATAGTTTATTCGGCATAGTCAAAGAAGCGGCATAGTCAAATAATCCCTGCTTCATTAAAATAAAAATGGCTGCTGCACTGTGCCGACGATCAGCTGATCTGGCACAGTGCGACAGTCTAGACGCTTCACGAGGCATACCGGAGAGATCGACAAAGGAAGCCTCGTCTAGACTGCCACACTGTGTCTAGACTGCCGCGCTGTGCTGGATCAGCTGATCATCGGCACAGCGCAGCGGCCATTTTTATTTTAATGAAGCAGGGATTATTTAAATCCCCGCTTCTTTGACTATGCCAAATAAACTATTTTATATGGCTCCACTGACGGAGCCATGTAGTCGAGACATAGCCAAGGTACCCAATACACACCTGAGGAATGCATCTGGACACCTGGAAACTACTCAGAAGTTAATGGCTGCTGGCATGGGACACAGGGACAGGTCACTGGACCATGTGACCTGCTCCAGCTTGGATGGTACCAGGAATGGATATAAAGTGCCATGAGGTGGACTCTGTCTTGTCTTCAATTCTGCTACTGATCCTAGATGCAGCCTTGCAAGGGACAGAGAGCTGGGAGGGATTATCAACCCATGCTGACATAGGATGTACACCAGAGACTTTTAAGATAGCAGTTTGTAACATCTCTGCTAAGAGCCTGCATCAAGAACTTGGGGTATGTCTACACTACCCCGCTAGGTCGAACTAGCGGGGGAATGTATGCATACCGCACTTGCTAATGAAGCCCGGGATTTGAATTTCCCGGGCTTCATTAGCATAAGCGGGGAGCCGCCATTTTTAAATCCCCGCTGCTTCGAACCCCGTGTAGCCGCGCTACACGGGGTTCGAAGCAGCGGGGATTTAAAAATGGCGGCTCCCCGCTTATGCTAATGAAGCCCGGGATTTGAATTTCCCGGGCTTCATTAGCATAAGCGGGGAGCCGCCATTTTTAAATCCCCGCTGCTTCGAACCCCGTGTAGCCGCGCTACACGGGGTTCGAAGCAGCGGGGATTTAAAAATGGCGGCTCCCCGCTTATGCTAATGAAGCCCGGGATTTGAATTTCCCGGGCTTCATTAGCATAAGCGGGGAGCCGCCATTTTTAAATCCCCGCTGCTTCGAACCCCGTGTAGCCGCGCTACACGGGGTTCGAAGCAGCGGGGATTTAAAAATGGCGGCTCCCCGCTTATGCTAATGAAGCCCGGGATTTGAATTTCCCGGGCTTCATTAGCAAGTGCGGTATGCATACATTACCCTCCTAGTTCGAACTAGGAGGGTAGTGTAGACATACCCTTGGTGACAGATGCATGTGATGTATTCTCCTTAACAACCTCACTCTCATACTTTTTCTTTCTTTTATTAATAAACCTTTAGATTTTAGATTCTAAAGGATTGGCCCAGCGTGCTCTTGTGGGTAAGAGCCAAAGTGTAAACTGACGAGGGATTTGTGGCTGGTTCTTTGGGACCCAGAGAACCCATTCAGGGTAGGTGAGACTGGGTTCTATAACCCCTCATCTGTGTGTAAGGCCTGGGGCTGATTGGGGTACAAGGAGAGCTGGGGTATCTGAGGAGTTTTGCTCACAAGGCTTCCTGCTGGCCGGAATGGCAGATGAAGTGCTCGGTATGATTGGTTAGTGACCTGTTTTGGGAAAGGTCTCCAGTCTAGGGCTGTAAGCAGCCCTGCTTTTCAGCAATTCGTCCTGAGCGGACACCCTCAGTGCTGCCCAGACCCGGTCCGGTCCGTCACAATCTCCACTTACCCTGAGAATAACACTTCAGAGATTGATCTCCCAAGATTAGATTTAGTGGGTCTACTAAGGACCTGCTAAATTGATTGCTGATCATGACTTCATTGACTCCAGTACTCCACCGGGCCACAAAAAGTAAGGGAAATCCACAGGAGATTTTCTCCCATTGACTTCCCACAGAGGGAATAAAATCATAGATTCATAGAATCATAGAATGCTAGAACAGGAAGGAATCGAGGTTATCGAGGTTATCGAGTCCAGTCCCCTACCCTCACAGCAGAACCAAACATCATCGACATCATCCCTGGCAGGTGTCTATCTAACCTGCTCTTAAATATCTCCAGTGAAGGAGATTCCACAACCCCCCTAGGTAATTTATTCCAGTGTTTAACCACCCTGATAGGCAGGAAGTTTTTCCTAATGTCCAACGTAAACCTCCCTTGCTTCAATTTAAGCCCATTGCTTCTTCTCCTATCCTCAGAGGTCAAGGAGAACAATTTTTCTCCCTCCACTCTTTTAGGTACTTGAAAACCACTATCATATCCCCTCTCACTCTTCTCCTTCCTAAATTAAACAAGCCCAGTTCTTTCAGCCTTCTCCCATAGCTCATGTTCTCTCGACCTTTCATCATTCCTGTGGCTTTTCTTTGGACTCTCTCCAATTTCTCCACATCTTTCTTGAAATGAAATGATACCATCATCATAAAGAGAAAAAAAAGTGCCTAAAGGATATTTGGTACCCAAGTCGTATAGAAAATCATGTGCCTACAAGGAAACTCACTCTGCTGCTGTCTATGTCCCCCCCCTGCAGAATTGCCCATTGATTTCAAGTGTGTGACCATTCAACACTTTAAAGAAAGGTTTAATGACACTAATTATTTCCTTGACTAATTGAATTGACTGAACATTTATTTATATAAAAATGCATGTGAAGGAAAGACCATTCCAGAAAATCGGGCTACGGATTAGTGGACTGATTCATGCCTTTCCATTATCTTCCCACTGCTTTTCGTGTTTCTACTTGGAAGGCTGGCAAAAAATGGGAAACCACTTTGCAGTACCCAACCTAATGGTTTCTCTCAGGGCAAGCTTCACAGCCCTGTTCCGCAGGCTGTAGATGAAAGGGTTGAGGAAAGGGTACACCACGGTGTTCAGCACAGCCACCCCTTTGTTGACCTCCAAAGAGGAATTTCCAGAAGGCCGAGCATACAGAACAATGCAGCTTCCATAAGCAATTGCCAAAGACGTGAGATGGGAGCCGCAGGTCGCAAACGCTTTCTGCCTGCTGGGGGCCATTGGCATGCGCAGAACAGCAAATAAGATGTTCATGTATGACAGCATCGTTAGGCATAATGAGCCAAGCACTAAGGCTGAGATCAAAATGGAATCCACCCTTCTAATCCCACGGGTGTCGGTGCAGGAGAGCTGGAAGAGGGGCGTGTTGTCACAGAAGAAATGGTTGATCACGTTCGGCCCACAGAATCTCAGCTTTGAAATCAGGAGCATCCGTAAACTCATAACCATGAAGCCTCCCACCCATGTAGCAAGGACCAATTGGATGCAGAGTCTCTGTTTCATGACACTGGTGTACTGCAAAGGGTGGCAGATAGCCACATAGCGATCAAAGGACATGACCACGAGGAAGGCTAGCTCTGTGGCACCTAAGGCAAAATAGAAGAAGGACTGGGCCATGCAGCCGCAGAATGAAATGGTTGTACGCACTGACAGGAAGCTCAGCATCAGTTTGAGGCTTGTGACTGAGGTGAACCAGATTTCCAAGAAGGACAAATTGCCGATGAAAAAGTACATAGGGGAATGGAGCCGCTGGTCCATCCACACTAGGAAAATGATGAGCGTGTTCCCCATTACTGTGATGATGTAGATGAAGAGAAGAACCAAGAAGAGGAAAATTTTCAGTTTCCCACTAAGGCTGGAAAATCCCAGGAGGATGAACTCAGACACGGCCGTTTCGTTTCTTTCCCCCATGACCGACATCAGCGTTATCTGTGGAAAGACAATGAGGAGTCCCGGGGCACCCTGAAGACAAACACATTTATCTGGGCACAAGCTTTCACGGGCTGGAACCCACTTCGCCAGATGTTTTGCTGAAACAGACTGGCACGGCTACCCCTCTGAAACTTGCCTGTGGAAAGGATTACAGTAAAAATAAAAGCATGCCATTTTCACAGATTCGTACATCTGATGGGACCCTTCTAGGCTGACTCTTTGAGTAATGTACATCACAGCATTTTACCTAACACCTCTTCCGCTAATCCTCTTACTTGTTATGAATTGCCCCTCCTTGTGACCACCCTTCTTCAACACCAGTGTCTCAGTTTGGAGCTACTGGCCTTATACTCCTCTAAGTTTCCTCTCCAGGCACTTGCCAGTAAATATTGAGTGATCCTGACTGTTTTCCTTCCTCTAGTTCAAGGTCTCTACAGTCACCATCTCATGAAAAAAAAATCAAAATAGCCATTTAGATGGAGCCTCCGTCAAAAAGTCCAAACTTCTTTGTTTCTGAGCACCCAGTGGCATATGTTGTTTTCGGTGTTCGTTCCCCTCCCCCCCAACCTCTCTGAGAATGGATGCATAGGTTCCAGGATCAGACGGGACCCCGGTGATCATCTAGTCTGACCTTCTACTTAGCTGCTGCCACAAAACTCTCCCACAATAATTCAAACAAGAGAATCACTTTTAGGAAAAGATCCATTCTTGGTTCCAAAACTACCAGTAGTGGAGAATCCACCTCCACCCTGGCTAAGTTATTCCAATGATCAATTCCCCTTTCTGTTATAATTGGGCACCTCACATCCAATCTGATGTTCACAGAATCATAGAACTGGAAGGGACCTCAAGAGGTCATCAAGTCCAGTCCCCTGTCCTCATGGCAGGATCAAGCACCATTTAGAACATCCCTGGCAGGTGTCTGTCCAACCTGCTCTTAAATATCTCCAGTGATGGAGATTCCACAACCTCCCTAGGCAATTTATTCCAGGGTTTCACCGCTCTGATAGGTAGGAAGTTTTTCCTAACATCCAACCTAAACCTCCCTTGCTGCAGTTTAAGCCCATTGATTCTTCTCCTGTTACCAGAGGCCAAGAGAACAATTTTTCTCCCTCTTCTTTGTAACAACCTTTTAGGTACTTGAAAACTGCTATCATGTCCCCTCTCAGTCTTCTCTTTTCCAGACTAAACAAACACAATTTTTTCAGTCTTCCCTCACATGTCATGTTTTCTAGACCTTTATTCATCTTCTCTGGACCTTCTCCAGTTTGGCATATCTCTCCTGTAATGTGGTGCCCAGAACTGGACACAATACTCCAACTTGGGGCTAATCAGCACAGAGTGGAGCAGAACAATGAGTTCTCGTGTGTTGCTCACAACATTCCTGTTACACATCCCAGAATGATGTTTGATTTTTTTTTTGCAGCAGCAGTGTCATACTGTTGATTAATATTCAGCTTGTGGTCCACTATGACCCCTAGATCCCTTTCTGCAGTACTCCTTCCTAGACAGTCACTTCCCATTCTCTGTGTGTGAAACTGATTGATTGTTCCTTCCTAAGTGGAGCACTTTGCATGTGCCTTATTACATTTCATCCTGTTTACCTCAGAGTCTCTCTCCAGTTTGTCCAGATAGTTTTGAATTATGACCTATCCTCCAAAGCATGCGCAACCCCTCCCAGCTTGGTCTTATCTGCAAACTTTGCAAGTGGACTTCCTATGCCTTTATTTATGTCACTGATATTGAAGTGAACCAGCCCCAGAACCCTCCTAGCATGAATGTGAACCATTGATAACTTCTCCCTGGTAACAGTTATGCACCTCACTAACAGTAGCTCCATCTAGGTTGTATTTCCCTCATTTATTAATGAGAAAGTCATTAATAAGCCATGGCTTGACTTCCACTCCCAGCCATTAGATCTTGCTTAATTTGTATCTGTATTCTAGGACCTTTTTCTGAGGTGTTGTGTGGCCTTGTGTTATACAGAAAATCATATGCAATGACCACAGCACTCTCTCCTATTGCACAATAAATGGGCTAGGGGGCACTAGAGCATATGACTGATCATGCATAGTCTCTGGTCCGGCAACATCCGTAGTCCGGCATGATGTTAGTGAGCCGGATGCCGACTTATCATGGGGGTGGCCAACTTTCCCACAGACTCATAAAGTTTGTTTACAGCCACCAGACCTGACTCTCCATGTTCTGTGCTGTTATTTAGCTCTAATTTACCCCCTGAGGCTGTGTCCAGACTCCATGCCTCTGTCGACGGAGGCATGTAGATTAGCCAGATCGGCAGACGGAAATGAAGCCGCGATTAAAACAATCGCGGCTTCATTTAAATTTAAATGGCTGCCCCGCTCTGCCGATCAGCTGTTTGTCGGCAGATCGGGGCAGTCTGGACGCGACGCGCCGACAAAGAACGGCAGATCGGGGGAGTCTGGACGCGATGCCCCGACAAAGAAGCCTTTCTTCATCGACACAGGTAAGCCTCGTGAAACCAGGTTTACCTGTGTCGATGAAGAAAGGCTTCTTTGTCGGGGCATCGCGTCCAGACTCTCCCGATCTGCCGACAAACAGCTGATCGGCAGATCGGGGCAGCCATTTAAATTTAAATGAAGCCGCGATTATTTTAATCGCGGCTTCATTTCCCCCTTCCGATCTGGCTAATCTACATGCCTCCGTCGACGGAGGCATGGAGTCTGGACACAGCCTGAATGTCTTCTCAGAGCCCAGTAAGCAGTGAGAGTTTTGGTGATGCTGCTAGACCATATTGCTCTCCCATAGTCCAGCAAATTCCCTGGTCCAGCACCAGTCAGGTCCTGAGAGTGCTGGACTAGAGAGGTTCAGCCTATGTTATAGTTTTATATTTTTTACCTTGTCAGACCGGCAGAGGAGGGGATGCTGCCCGTTAGAAAAGAAACAAAAGCCAGCTCTGCTTCGTTGAATTCCTGTCTGTCTCTGCAGCCGCTGCTCTCTTGCCATTTCTCCTCCCTTCTTCACCCAGAAAAGGAACTTTGCTTTCACCCGCTCATTAAATATGGTTTTGGAAGTGAAATGATTTTGCTACCTCAATAAGAAACACTAACAGGGAATTCCCAGGGGCAAAAATTCTCACAGGGCCTCTGAGATACCTCATGAAACTGAACGCAAAAGAAGTCATCTTCTTTCAGGCAAAGATTTGTAACATGTTTATGGCACTGTACCTGGAAAGACAGTGGAACAATTTTTTAAAAAATAAATGTGTAAGCACCTAAAAAAATATTGAAAATAGGGAATTACCACAGTGGATTTATCAAGAACAAATGCTGCCAAACCACCCTAATGTCCCTCTTGTCCATGTTTCCTGGACCTGTGGATACGGGAGAAGTGGTAGACAGGATAGCTCTAGATTGCAGTAGGGCTCTTGGTATAGACCCATGTAACATTTCAAAAGTAAGTTTGGGAGAATAAGACAGAGAATATCTTATTGCCTCTGTATAAATCCCTGGTGTGCTCACACCTTGAACACTGCATACAGATGTGGTCACCTCATCTAAAAAAGGATCTCTTGGCATTGGAAAAGATTTAGAAAATGGCAACAAAAATTATTAGGGGTTTGGAATGGGTCCCATATGAAGAGGGATTAAAAAAACTGGGACTTTTCAGCTTAGAAAAGAAATGACCAAGTGGGGGATATGATAGAGGTCTATAAAATCACAAGTGTTGTGGGAAGAAAGAGTTATTTACTCCTTTGCATAACACAAGAACTAAGAGTCATCCAATGAAATTAATAGGTAGCATGTTTAAAACAAAGATAATGAAGTTTTTTCTTCACACAATGCACAGTCAACCTGTGGAACTCCTTGCCAGAGGATGTTGTGAAGGTGAAGACTACAAGAGGGTTCACAAAAAAACTTGATAATTTCATGCAGGATAGATCTATCAATGTCTGCTTGTAGGATGGACAGTGATGGTGTCCCTAGACTCTATTTGCCAGAAGCTGGGAATGGGTGACAGGAGAGAGATCTCTTGATGGCTCTCTGTTCTGTGCACTCCCTCAGAGGCAGCTAGCATTGGCCACTGTTGGAAGACAGAATACTGGGCTAAATGGACCTTTGGTAGGGCTATTCCAATGTTCTGATGGAGCTGCAGTCTAGATGAAATTAATAGAAGTTGAATATGTAACCCATACACCTACGGGGTGTGGTTTACCATCCCATGGAGTGGCACTTAGGCCACTTACAGCAAGAGATAAGAACAAGGGAGCTCTACAGTCTAAGCTGCGAGCCAGCTGGCTTTACAGCTCAGCTGTAGAGCTCCTGCACTATGCTCCAGAGATCCCAGGTGCAGTTCTGCCTGTTAACAGTCACAAATGCACAACCAATGAAAGCCCATAATCAAATGAATTTGATTTGATGAGAATGAAACCAAAGGCAAACCAGGAGGGCATGTCTCATGTGGTCCTGAAGGAGTCGGCCTGGGATTATCGGATTATTCATTAGTATTTGTGATAATGGAATGGTTATTAAATGGGCAGATGACACCCAGGCTAAGAGGACGTGCCAAGAATTAGTAATCAAAACAGCTTGACAGAGGAGACAGTTGTTCTGAAATGGACATGGGGAAATTCAAGAAGGAATTACAAGGTATTACACTTAGGAAGGAAACTATCGAAGGCCTAACAATAAAACAGGGGACATACCATGAGGTGGTCGTGCTGCTGAAAAGAATCAGGAGTAAAAGCGTATCACAAATTCAATAGGAGTCAAAAGTGGAAGTGTTGCTAAACATGATGTTTGGTATTCTGGGGGTAGGGGAGTAGAACATGCTTCACAGGTAAGACACAGGAAGTGATTCTCCCACATGGGTGAGACCTCAGCTGCAGCACTGTGTGGACCACATGTTAGACAAGATGTGCACCAAAAGAGGCCAGAGGAGAGCAACAAAAACCAACAAAAGGCTAGAAAACCTGATCCATGAGGAAATGGGGCATGTTTCGCTTTGGG